ATCTCCTCTTGTAGACTGAACAGATCTATTGTCATATCTGCAGGGTTGGTCCCTCCTTGGCTTGTAGATAGCCACCTTCTCACTGTCTCCTGGCATGGTACAGGCAACCCTGGTGCCTTTTCATAAGTTTGAATTTCTTCTTTTATAAAATTAATGTATTTTCAGCAGACAAAAGTTACACATATATTTATCATGTACAACATACTATGTACTGACTAAATGGGGTCAATTAACGTATGCATTGCCTCATATACCATTTTTGTTTTGTGGGGAGAAGACATGAAATCTACTCCCTTAGCTATTTTCAAGAATACAACCCACTGTATTCCTGATATATAATCTGTAGTCACCCTGCTGTACGATAATTCTCTCGAACTCAATCATCTGATATAACTGAAATTTTGTATCACTTGATCAAGTTCTCCTTAAACTACCCCAGCTCCCAGGTCCTGATAACAACCATTCTACTCTCCATTTTTATGAGTTTAAAAAATTTTTTTAGGTTCTTCACATAAATGAGATCATGAAGTACTTGTCTTTCTGGGCCTGGCTTATTTCACTTAACATAATGTCTTCCAGGTTCTTCCATGTGGTCATAAAGGACAGGATTTTCTTCTTTTTTAGGGCTTCCCAGTGTCCTGTTTTCTTTATCCATTCATCCATTGATGGACGCTTAGATTGAATCCATGTCTTGGCTATTATGAACTCTGCAGCAATGAAGACAGGAGTGCAAATATCTCTTCACCACATTGATTCCATTTTCTTCGGATATATTTCCAGTATTGAGATTACTGAGTCATATGGTCATTCTATTTTTAAGTTCTTTGAGAAACCTCTATAGAGTTTTGCATAATGGTCATAAGAATTTACATTCCCACCAACACTGTGCATGTGTCCTCTACATCTTTGCCACCATTTGTTTTCTTTCCTCTTTTTGACAAATGCCACTCAAACAGGTGCGAGGAGTTATTTCATTGTGGTTTGAACTTTCATTTTCCTGGAATTAGTGATGTTGATTTTGAGTTTTAAATTATTGGGGTTTTGTTTTTCATATATCTGTTGGCCATTTTATGTCTTCCTTTAAGAAATATATATATATATATTCAGGTCTATAGTCCATTTTTTATTGGATTGTTTATTTTCTTGCAGTTGAATTTAACTCCTTACATATTTTAGATATTAACTCCTTAGATATATGATTTGCAAATATTTTCTCATTCTATAGGTGTTATCCTCACTCTATTGAATATTACCTTGGGTGTGCTGATGCTTTTCAGTTTAAACAATCCTATTTGCCTGTTTTCTCTGTTGTTGCTTGTGGTTTGGGGGTCATACCCCCCAAATTATCACCAGTTCCAATGTCATGGGAGCCTTTCCTGTATGTTTTCTTCTAGTAGTTTTATGGTTTTAGATCTGTCAGGATCTGTCATTTAAACCTTATTACATTTTAGATCTGTCATTTAAACCTTATTACATTTTAGAGAAAAAAATATATATATATGGTATAAGAAAAGGATTTAATTACATTCTTCTGCATGTAAAGATTTAGTTGTCCTATTTAAAGAAGAAATTGCCATTCCCCATTGTGTTTCCTTTGCATCTTTGTCAGAAATAAAGAGAGTGTAATGCATAGATTTATTTCTGGGATCTCTGGTCTGCTCCATGGTCTATGTGTCTGCATTTACGCCAGTTTCATGCTGTCTTGATTACTATAGATTTGTACTAGATTTTGAAGTCAGGTAGTGTGATATCTCCAGCTTTGCTTTGGTTATTCAGGGATTTGATAACAAATTTTTGGATTTTTTTAAGCCTGTGAAAAATATCATTGGAATTTCAATAGAAATTGCATTGTATCTGTAGATTGCTTTGGGTAGTTTAGACATTTTAACAATATTCTTTTAATTCATAAATATAGGATATTTTTCCATTTATCTATGTCTTCCTTAATTTCTTTCATTAACAATTTACAGTTTCCCATGTGCAGGTATTTTATCTCTTTGATTAAATTTATTCTTACATTTATTTATTTATTGTTATTATAAATGGGAATGTTCTTAATTTTTTCAGATAATTCTTTGTTAGTGTATTCAAATACTGTTGATTTTTGGATATTGACTTTGTATCTTTCATCTTTACTGAATGCACTTATCAGTTCTAAGAGCTTTTTGGTAGAATCTTTAGGATTCCTACATATAAGATCATGTTAACTGCAAACAGGGACAATTTAACTTCTTTCCTTCCCTGGGATGTTTGTTCTTGCTCTTTCCTGGTTCTGGCTAGAACTTCGGAACTAGACTGCATAGAGGTGGCAAGAGTTAGCATCCTTTTCTTGTTTCTGATTTTGGAGAGAAAGCTTTCAAAATTTTGCCAGTTAACATGAGGCCTTCTGGAAACTGTTCTACTCTACTGTGCTGTAGTGACAGGGCTGCCTCAGGCACCTCACGTACCTACCCCTGAGTCACACCACCTAACTGGACTTCATCCTGGAAGGGAGGCACAAGTCCACTCTCCTCCCCAGATTACACACTTCATCTCACACCCCTCACCACCACCCACCGGAGGTTGCTGGGGGGAGAGTAGCAGTCAGGATGCAGGGGCCCTGTTTCAGGTTCTCACCATATCTAAGCTCTCCTTACTGCCTCTCTCACAACCCCAAGGAACATCTCTTTGTGCTCTTGGGGCCTGGAAGGTTTGCTTCACCTCAGCAGGAGTTCTCCCGAGCACACTGTCTCTGCCTGAGTCCTTTCCATTCCCTGAGCTGCTTCCATCTTTTGTAACCTTAAACTCACATGTTCCCCCCTTTCTTCCTTTTCCTACTTCCTGATGAGAATCTCTTCTCTTGAGACAATAAACCCAAAATGGCTCATTGAGTGTGTAAGAGGAGACCTGAGGTACAAAGAAATGAGACTGAGAAAACAGAACAGTATTTCAAAATCTTAGCCCGCCATATTTAGCTGTTGTCTCCATTGCACCAGACAAAGGAGTGGCCTCACAGAAGAGCCCTCATCAGCAGAATCAAATCCTGGGCTGTCTGCCTCATGGAGAAGTTGGAACCAGACAAATCCACATTCGATTCCTTTTTCCCCCTTGGGTAGCCCAAGTGCCCTGACTGGCCAGTGCTGAGTGCCCAGCTTGTGACCTCAGAAGGCTAGACACCTGGATACAAACGCCAACCTCCATAAAGACAGTAATGCTAATTGGCTTTGTCTGACCTTTATGTTGTTAAAATGTCACAGTGTAAGTGCTCTAATCAGCATTTCCAACTACTCATTAGAGACCCATGTGGTTGAAAATATGGCAATGCTCTATTTTTTGGCCTAAATAAGAAGGAAATATTATAAATGTTGGTAAACTTACTGTGTGAATTGGACAAAGGTTTTAGCACCGGTCGGCCACAATTTTTCTCCTATTAAATCAGGAGAAGTGAAAGTTTAATTGTATTTCTCATGTTCTTTAGTATATCCTTTTTTTTTAATTTTTGTTTTTGAAGAGTAAACTACATAGAATTTTGATGTGGACATGAAATTCTCTTTCCCTAAAAGCAGAAGTACAGTCTATTTAGGTAGTGTAAGAGATTCTCAGAGTCACGAAATACGCATGTTTAGAAACCACAGAGAAGCAGACGTGCCAAACCATGCAAAAAAAGGAGAATTTGGGATCGTAGTCACAAGTACACTGAAATCATTACTTTTGTTTTTGTAATGATTTACGGCTTTTTAAAAAAAATAATTTTCCACATTGTGCTTTAATCTTTTATTATTTCAATAGCAACATATTCTGAATCTTGAAGTTCAAGTATGCCCACTTATCTGTAAATTCTTGTATACTTTTATTAATGTATTACTTTTGTTGTTCTTAATGAAAGACCTACAAAGAAAGTATCAAAGACTCGTACATTCCTGATATACTCAATTAAGTCCAAGATGAATAATTGTGGTTGCATCACAAGATCACCTTTTCCTTCTCTGGGTAGAAAAGATCCTCCCAACAACCTTCAGTGTCCTCTTACACACAGAGACTCAGGGTGTGCTGATTCATGAAGCCAAAAATTCCCATCCCAGATTACGTCTGTCTGTATGATGTGATAGTCTCCCCTCCATTTCTAATAAAGGTTTATGAAGACAAGTTTCCAAAATGATGTCTAATGATATATATATATAAAAGAGGAAGTTCTAGGAAATAAGTAAACCATTTGTAAATTTGGCGGTAACTTTTAACTCATTACAGTACTACATGAGTTTCTATCATAACTATCTATATTAGTCTTAAACTATCTATGATCTTTCAAGGTTCATAAAATTATTTATTTACCCAAGACAGGAAGTTTAATTGGTTTTGAAAATCTCTGTTTTCTATTCTCAGAGGAGAGTTAAAAGACAATGAAATACTACACATATAAAACCATTAGCCCTAAAAAGAAAAAAAAAAAAAACTTTACAGAGTAGTCTGCCTTAGCCTCCCCAGGCTGCACCCCATCAGCTATTGAACCACGCTCTCCACCATCAAACACCCAACCCCCAGTCTCCTTCTTCTGTCTTGTTCCCCAGAACTTGATCACCCGCATCCACCTGCAGCATCATCTCTTATCTCACACTTTCCTGTTTATCATACCGTATCTGTACTTCTCCTTTACTAGGTGATAAGCTCCTAGTCATAGAGGGTCATAGACAGGTCTTATACGTCTCCCAGCACAGTGCCCTGAGAATAGCATAGAAATATGTACTGATGGAATGAATGAACGAGTGAAATATCTAGTGCATCTTCTATTAAGTAAAGATCTATAACATCAGTACATATTTGTAATTAGAATGCAAAGAGAAAAGTGAGTCATAAAAATTACACACAGTAAATGATAAAAACATGTTTTAGCATACTTAAGAGCTTGACTTTTTTTTTTAATTGTTCAAACTTGGACAATATAAACCTTCCCATTAAGATGCTGCTTCCTCATTGGTTTATGATGAAATGTGAGCTATGAGTGCAATTTCCTGTCCCCACTTCAAGAGTGGTGGTTTCTCTTCTCAATGCCAGATTTATCAGGCTCCTCAGTCGACAAAAGCATCACTCCAAGAAACAGGGTAAGTGTAAGATTACAAACAGAATAAGATTTTAAGCGAGATAACATACTTTGGCAGGATGGTCAGCAATGGTTGCAGCGTTTTATCTGGTTTAGGATGTATAAATGTAACAAGGCAGAGTATTGTAGAGAGACACAAAGAGGAAGACGCATGGTTTCCTCTGCTTTGAATATGGGTAAAGAGATGTCGAAATTTAAATTCATGAAGAGTTAAGTACAACTATGCATATACAAACAGGGAATGTAAGTGCTCCATTTCCTTTTCGGAAAGTGGTATATTGGAAAACTGCATTGTTTAGGAGGAAACCTATCAGCTCCTAGCTGTAGGACTACCTCACACCTTTCCTTAGCAAACAATGATCTAATGATATCTTTTATATTCATCAGAAATAACGTGAAGGGGCTGGAGTTGTGGCTCAGTGGAGTGCTTGCCTGGCATGTGTGAGACACTGAGTTGGATTCTCAGCACCACATATAAATAGATAGATAAAGTAAAGGTCCATAAACAACTAAAATATATATATATATGCATATATATATGCATATGTATATATATATGTGTGTGTGTGTGTATATATATGTATAAAATAATGTGAAGTTAGGAAATAACGTTTCTAAAATTAATAAGCATCAATTAATAACTATTTGTTAGTATGTGACTATCACAGTGTCTGGAACACAGTAGTCTTAATAAGCAGCTATTAAACTGATAACCGAACGTGAGCCTTCTTATAACACTACAGGAAAACAGTTTCCTTTTGGTAATTCTCATCAGTGATTCTTACTATTTTTAGAGCTGTTTAGAAATAGGTATACTTTAAGATACTATAGATTGTCTTTTGGCATTCAGTAAAGAGTAAAATAAAAATTCAAAACTCATCTAGATTTCTTAGTGGTTCTAAAAGCAATTTTCTCCAAATCTGATTAAAATAGACAAAATAACATTTGAAAAACGTATGAATAAGAGGACGTTTGTTTTCCACTAAAATTGTAGACTTGCATGCATTAAGTTAACAAGTTTATCTGCAAACCTTGGTATCATATGTGAAGCATTACCGTTCAAACCAGGCTGAGTTCCTCTGCTTCCTCTGCCATGCTCTGGCCAGGTGGTCAAAGTGAACTCCTTGTAAGAAACGTGGGGGACAGCACAGATGATAGCAGCATATTACCAATGTTGCCATTGAAACAACAGTGACAGTTAGCATAGAGAGAGGGCTTGTCATGTGCCAGGTTCTTTGCCTGGTGTCCATCCCGTTCAACCCTCACGACTACCCTGTGACTAATGGAACGCATGTGGAAATTAGAACTTAGGTCACAGATCCCCCAAAGACCATGGAGAGGCTTTCAAACTGTCTCCAGAGCCCACGCTCATAACCACAAGGGTTATAGGGCCTCTGTTGCCCAACAGAGAGGAGACCCAGTATCTGCTTCATCAAAACATCCTTTCTTGTGGTTATTTTCAGCAAGGAAGGAAACACTTCTACAGCTCAAGAAATTCATTCTATTGAGAACTTGATAAACTCTTCCAAAATCAGTTTGTCCATTTTATCCTTTTTTTTTAGAGAAAAAATGTATACTTATTGAGTAACATTGAGAAGGGGTACACACGGCCATCCTCCCACAGTTGTAGTCCCGGTCCCATGGGAGAATGTTTTCAGGATCCAGGTGTGTGAGCCTCGTGGGGAACACCATGTGGTCTCTTCTTCAGGTTGCATCTTTAATAGCTTCATCAATTCTTGGTGCTTCTCAGATTCCTCTCTGGTCCTTCAATTATATCCTATAGAAGCTGCTGAAGTGAGAAATTCAATGGGAGTAAATTTTCTCAGTGGTAGTTGGTCTTAAAATGTTCTTATTTTTCTCCAGTTCTAGCAATTTAGTTCTGTTGTGTACACCGTTATAGGTGACATATATTTTCTTAGCTGTTTAGGACTATTAATCCTCTGTCTACTATTATTGTTTTTATTAAATCCTTTGTCAGTCTAAATTTTATCCTCTGTCGGTAATCCATCTTTTCTCTCTGGCTATTTTTTATCAGTCTTTGGCGATCTGCAGTTTGATATAGATTTCCATTTCTGTTTGTTTTAATCCTATTTGGAATTTTTAAGTCTTCATAAATCCGAGGATTCCATATCCTTCATCAGTTCTAGAAAGTGCTGAAATATTATCTTTGCAAATATTGCCCCTTCCCTATTCTCTCTTCTCTACTTTTGTGCCACTTGAGTTACACACATGCTGACCATTATTTTCCATGTCTCTTTGGTGTTTTCTCATCTCTTTAACACTGATCATTTCATCTTCTTTCTTTAGTTCTGTCTTGCAAAATACTAATTCTCTCTTTAGCTATATCTAATCAATTCGTTGATTTGCAAATTTAAAGTATTATGTTTTTATGTCTAGACACTTTATTTCAATCTTTTAAAAATACATCTGGTCATTTTTATCTTCTCTTGCTCCTCACTTATGTGTTCCAATTCCTTCTTTCATTTCTTTAAACATATTAAACACACTTGTTTTTTGTTATATACTAATTTGCCTCTAAATCTTTGGTGGATCTAGTTCTTTCTTGTTTCTGCTCAGTCTCACACGTAGTGGCTTATTTCTGTGTGGGTGTGGGCGTGGGTGTGTACGCACATGTGTGTTTTAGTGAGGTCATAATTGTTAGAACCCTATCTATGGGATTTTTTTTTTTCTTTTTTGGTACCAGGGTTTGAACGCAAGGGCCTTAAACCACTGAACCACATCCCCACCCTTTTTTTGTATTTTATTTAGAGACAGGGTATTGCTGTGTTGCTTAGGGCCTCACTAAGTTGCTGAGGCTGGCTTTGAACTTCAGTCCTCCTACCTCAGTTTCCTGAGCCACTGGGATAACGTGTATGTACCTGGCTCTCTGGGCTTCTTTGAAGGGGATGTTAAGGAAGTTTTTCTCAAGGGAGGTTTTGTATTTACTTCTTCCAAATGCCTAGAATTTATTTATGTGTCATATAATAAATCTTTATCTTTGGTGAATTTATTTCTACAACTATTTAAATTATTTTTTGTTCTGTTTTAATTAATTTTTATGTTTTAAAAGAAGTAGAATTATATTTCCTAGGAAGGCATACATACTCCATCTGCATGTGCAATAGATGTTGTTTGTCAAGGTGCCTCACATCTCATCTCACACAGCTTTCCAATACCACTTTTTCAGGCAGAAAAAAAAAAAAAGCACATTTTCCAACCAAGCAGCCTGATAAATTTTTACACACTGGGCGTGGAAGAAGCACTATACCAAGAAACAGAACATCACCAAAATCTCAGAAGTTCCCATCATTCCCTCTTTGCATGGTATCTGGTTCCTTCCCAAATTCTAAATTCTAGCAGCATATATTAACCTTGCTTGGCTTTTATTAGCACATACTTTGCTGTCTTTGTCTTTCCTTTCACTCTGCATTCTTTTTGTGAGTTTCACCCATGTCATTAAGTGTAGCAATAATTTCTTCATTTTCATCATTATGTAGATTTCAATTGTATTAATATGCCACAATTTACTTTTCTAATCTACTGCTAATAGGCATTTAATTTGAAGGGTTTTAAACATAGTGCTACTGTGAATATTTTAATCTTGTGCACCGTTGTGGTAAACACATATGCACTCTTATATACCTAGAATTGCATGAATACTCAGGGAAGCATTCTTTTTTTATAGCTCCCCACAGAGACTAAGCTGAGATATGGAACTTGCCAACTTTTCTCTGCTGTCTGCAAAATGTCTGTGGAGTTTACTATTTTACTTTGTTTTCTGGCTCACCCTTCTGAGGGTGGAGGCTCCTGTTTACCAATGTGTGTGGGATGGTCGAGGACCTCCCTCCCTGCGTGGGTCCAAACTTAGTGTTTATCTGCTCCAAAGGCTTTAGCTATTTCCTCCAAAGCCACAGATGCCTTTAGATTCTCCAGAGCTTACCCTGCTCACTGACCTCCCTCATCTTAGCTCCAACTTTTATTTTTCTATCAGAAATATTTTTCTCTCTGGAAGAGACTGTTTTGATTTGAAAGGCTGTTTTTCACATTTCATTCATATTTGAGGTGTGATGAGACCGGAAGATCTCAGGAGTTTTTCTCCATTTTGTTTTGAGTGAGATATGTCATGTACTCTGGATATGGCTTGCTCTACAAGCAGGATCCTCATGCCTTATGAGGGCAGGTCCCTAGAGTGCTCAGGATCCATCGGCACTTGGAAGGCAAGAGATCTGATGCCCTGTCTGGTGTCCTCACAAAGCTTTTCTTTGAAGGCCTCCATCGGGTAAATCATCCAAACTACCAAGAGGCACCACTAACAGAGGAATACCAGAAGTATTTCTCCACCCCAGGATGGGGAGAAGGATGAATCCTTTACTCCTGTGTGAATCCATGACATCATAGCTTCACAAAGAAACTACCCTAATAAATAACCTGGGATAGCAGCAGAAATTGTTGATCACAAGATTTTACCTAGAACCCAGGACATTCTATCCTCTTGTTCATGGAAGTATAAAAGCCTTATGAAAGTTTCTCTTTCCCACTTGAATCAAAGTGTGAAATATGATATATCAAGAACTATGTAATGTTTTGAACAGCCAACAATAAAAAATTTAAAAAAAAAAGTTTCTCTTGATGGTGAAAGACAAAATGTAATAACTCACAAAGGAAGAAAAAGCTCAAAAACGTGGGCTCATCTATGTATTAAGGCTCAACAAACTGTTGTGTTTTAAAATTAAACTTTATTGTATTTCTTATGAAAATATTCGCTTGGCTAAAACGATTACTTTGAAAGTGCTTTACACCTAAATTGTATATGAAATGAAAAATGTAAAAGTGTGTAACCACAAAGTGTATCACACACTTGGAGGCATGTACTGATTGTAACCAAATAACTAAATTTTCTATTTTTAGCCACTTAAAATTGCCTGTTGGCTTTAGTGTGGGTTGTTATCTCATGTCTGGTGAGAAACATAATTCCCTTGGGTAATTCTTATTTGCAGTAAG